AGTCCAGCAACTCGTACTCGGTTTCACCGAGTTCGGAGGGCCTTTTGGGGGAACTCCCCAGGGTTAGCGCGATATTGTCTTCCACTACAGAGGGGTCCGCGGGACACTCTTCTCCTGGTAGAGGAGGAACTCTCAGCTCCGGGAAGTGCACTACCGTCTTCGGCGCGTCCTGCCACGAGAACCTCTTCGTCGCGGTCCCTCCCCCTTCGTCGCGGTAATCGGAGTCGTCCGACGTCACAGAGTTGATCCGTACTGGCTTTTCCTCTTGGAAATTACGGTTGGCTCGCTTCGCTTCTCCGACGAGGCTAGTGTCTTTTGGAACCATTCCAACCAGTACTCAGGAGTAGATAGTCGACCAGGGGAAGAATCTCGGGTCCTCGCTAGCTGTTCTTCGGGAATGCCTAGTAAGTCACTCAACTCGGCAAGAGACAATTCCTTCGATTGTTCCGCATTCTCAACTAACCGGCGCTTCAGTTCGACTTCATCGTGAGGAAACAGTCGGTCTTCGAGCTCTTTGTCATATTCTTCTTTCTCTTCAGCCAGCTCGGAAGGCTTACCTTCTTCCAACGTATCTAGTTCCTCTTTGGTGAACACCCTCGCGAAGGAAGGCTCCTTCTCCGGTTCATTCTTTGGGGACTTAGTACTGGCGACGTCCTCAGAGTCCCTTTCGGAGGCGTCGTCTCTCTCAGGAGGGGTCACGTCTCTCTCCTGCCCGCGTGGGTCCGCCTTTGGTACTGGAACACTAGCTTCGGTAGCTCCATATTCTTCTCGGGTTGGGCTTTCGAGTACCTCCTTCACGTCTGGGGGTAACTCCTCCTGTATAGGGCCGTTATTGGACTCACCTTTTTCCTCGTCTTGATCGAGCACGCTCGAAACCACACTCTTGTGGTTCGTTGACGTCGACGGGTAGTCTCGTTCCGTCGAGGACGCATGAAGTTGCGGCTTTTCCGTCTCTCCTTCCTTGCTTAGTTTTTCGTTCGTTGTTTCGATCTCGCTCTCTTGGTCATCTCTCGTAACCACTCTTAGGTTCGTATTGAAGCGTTCGTCGACGTGCGCAGCTATTGCGGGACCGTCCCTTACGGGTCCCGAGCCTACCTCTTTCACAAACGCTTCTCTCTCCGTCTTCCAACAGTCGTTGGGGTTTGAGACTACCGATACCCCGTTCCACACGGGCGCCGTACGTCCTTCATGCTCAAACGGCAGTATTTCTTCAGTTCTCGTCATATGTTCATTGCTTACGTTCGTTTCATTTCTTTCCGGTAAGGCGGAACTCATCCCACCTCCAACAGGACACACTTCATACCTCTTGGTCGACTCCTCCGCGGAGTTCAAAGTGTTCCCATTTGTGTCGATCCATAGACAAGAGGAAGGAGCGACACTCCCTTCCCCTCCCTCTCGCCCCCATCATTGCTGGCTGGGCGCTTGCCCTAGGACAGGTCCCACCGTTGCCCCTGTCGGACCGCCAAGTCTCTTTAGTGACGTCTTTAGAGGGCACTCCGCCAACATGTGACCCGATTCATCACACAGGAAGCACTTGCGTCCGTTCCTCGGCTGGGTGTTCCGGAATCCGCTAGGAGGGTCACGCTCACATTCAGGACCGATGTGGCCCACTTCCTTACAGTGAGGACATGTGGCTTTGCCGCGGCGACAGTGAATACGACTACACCCCAGAGTGTGACACCGACCGCACACGAGAAGACCATCTTGGGTTCGCAAGTCCGGACCCACACGAACGCCCCTGATAGGCGTAATAGGAAGCGTTCCGATAGGCTGATAGTGCAGAGAGGGGTTCGGATCAGGAGGAGAGTAGGCAGCAGCTACATTCATCGCAGGGGAAGCATAGGCGGTCGTCAGAGGACGCTCCATCAACTGCTGTTGCTGTTGAAGTTGTTGCTGTTGCTGCTGAGCGAGTAGATTCTGCGTCTGCTGCATCATGTTCATCATGCGTTCGAGGACAGCGTTCTCTTGGGAAGTTTTAGGGGACGGCACATTGTCGAACTCGGAGTCGTCTTCAACCGGACGGTGCATATTCTTAAGGAGCAGCATGGCCACAGCCGCAGGGATGGAGTCGATCATTGTCGTGGTGAGGGCGTTCCTCCAATCTCGGTTCCGGAGTCCAGACAAGAAGTACTGGTAACGCATCTGAGTGTCGTAGCACTGAGCATCATCGCAGAGACTTGAAATCATGTCGCCCCACACTTCGGCGGACATTCCCCGGGGTCTTTTAGTGTTCTTCAGATTCTCAATCAGTTGCAAAGGGGTCTGACTGATGAACTGGTTATGGAACCGAGCTCTCAGAGCCTCAAAGCTGTTGATGCGCGAGTACATCCACCAATCTTCGCCGACCTTGCCTTTCAAGCACTCCCTGAAAGCGCTGAGACGCAGGGGTTCGTCCAGCCCTATCGTGGCGTTCTCGAAGGCCTCCCAGAAGGATCTAGCTTTCTCCACCGACGCTCCTTCCGAGTAAAAGGGTTGGAGCATGCGAATTGCGTTTCGGATGTTAGTGGGCATACCATACTGGCCACTAGTAGACGAAGGCGTATTACCATACGTAGGCGAGGAGTAGTAGGAGTTACCTCCATATTCCCCATACGCAGGACCCTGGTGGGTTCCGGCAGAAGCCGTAGTTCCTCCGTTTCCTTGTGAAGCTCGGGTTGTTCTCGTAGGGTCGACTCCGTACGCGACTCCACTGGTAATCGAAGTTCGAGACCCCAGGCCTTGGGTAGGAATTTGAACGGTAGGCGACGAGACCTGGAAAGGAACCCTCTGAGGAACGGGGACGGTTACCGCTGGAGCGTTCTCCCCGCCTCCTCGCAAGTTACCGGAGGGCTGGAGACCCCAAGGAGGAGCGTTAGAGGTCCTCGGAGGAATACTTGCCGGGGAAGCACGTCCACCGTTTTCAGGGACAGTTGGTAGGGAGAAGAACGGGTTGAAGTCCTGTCCATATGACGTATTTGGGGTTCGGATTGTGAAACCTTGGTACGACGGGATTGCAGTCCTTACTCGAGTCGTAGGAGGGGGAGTCCCCACAAGACCGTTTCCACCAGTTCTCTCCATAGCGGCGGCAATTTCAGGAGGGGCCATGGATCTCAACCAGTTGAGGGAGTTAAGCCAGCCTTGCACCGTACCTCGGCCGCCTCCGCCGTTCAGGGTCAGCATCGAGTCCAACTCTTCCGAAGTGAAGGTCGCAGGGACCCCGGAGCCCAAAGCGTCCGCGGGTGGCTCGACACCGGCACTAGAGTTGTTCCCCCCAAGTCGGTTAGCCGCTTGGTCTATGATATTCTGCACGTTTTGCAGGCCTTGCGTAGTCGACAGACTGGGTCGCATTCTCGAAGGCAGACTCTCGGTCGGGCCTTCTTCTTCCCGGACAGTGGCGCTCTCATCTTCTCTGTTGCTAGTAGCCGACATCTTGTCCTTCTTTCTGACGTTCTCCGCGAGACTTCACTTGGAGCAAGACCTTCTCCAGCTAGCAGACTACCCTGCTTCTCCACCAGATGTCGTATACCTCCTCTTCCTTCAAGGGTCGAGTAGTCCGCGGCTGTTCAGGGAGTACGGTCTTGTTCAGTGGCTGCAGGAACGGTAGATAGGAACACTAGAGAGTTGAAAAATAAAAGTTTGTTGATTGGCTTGGCTTCCTCTTGAGTAGAAGGAGGGAAATATAAGACTGAGAGCTAACCGAAAGAGAGGCCTAACACCTTCTCGACCTTACATACACTACACTACATAAAAAAAGGAAGGATTCACTTCGTTTGTTGTCGGCCTTCGTGGGACAACGGAGAGCCTCTGGGAAAGGGCTTGATGTCGCGAGGTGCTTTTGGTCCCCGACGCCAAGACTCCGGCGTTCAGGGGTCCCCTTATAGTACCACCCTAACGGGCTCGGTCAAGGGTACGTGCGAGGTTGAGTTCAACGGGAACCACCCTGACGGGACGGCGGGGCGAGGAGTGATTCCAGGGTCTCGGGTCATCCCGACGGGAGGCAGAGCTCCTGGAATGACCCCTCCGTTCCCGGGTACGGGACAGTTGGACTCGCATGACACGTACATTGCCGACCATTTGGCCCGGATTCTGAAGAACGTAGTGCTTCACATTGTGAATCTCGTGCAAAAGGCGACAGCATCAGGGAAAACTACGCAACGACTGGATCGATTTGCCAACCTCCACTACTTTTTCGCTGCAGCTCTATGGGAACGCTTGAACGAATTGCTCATAGACGAGGAAGCATTGCTCGACCGCTTAAAAAAATCGTTCCTGGAATTTGATCCAGAAAACGCCAGTAACTTGCAGCTGCCAAAGTCCTTAAAAAAGATTTCGGATGAAAAAGTGAGTGACTCGCCAGCGATTTGGAGCTGTATTTGGCTTCAAAAGGATTCCACAATACTTCTTTTGAAGAAGTTTATCTTCCCATGGATGCATCGAAAAACCCGCCATTGACCAGGTACAATTAGGTTTTGTTTGAGCGTTGATTTTCTTTAGCGCTAACGGAGTTGTTATTTATGTGTTAGGGAGGTGTCGCGCTTGATCATGAGCGCCCAGGTCCCAACGCTAGGGAAAGCAGTTTCCCGCGCATCAGACCCGAGTGTATACATGTCCCGGGGTAGAAGCAGAGGTTTTACCTCTCAGGTTCCTGGCCCAAAAGAAGGGTCTGAAAAACAGGTCAACGAGCTGGAGTTGCGGCTTTTCTTCGCACTTACCTCGCACGTGGTTGCCCCTCTCCTCCAGTCAATCTGTGATATGAGTGATCTGGTGCGGAAGATGCAAGAGTATGCGACTTCCTTTCCGAAAGTTGCGGCTTGTAAGACCCACATTTTCCACGACTCGACAGCTGACAAACGCAAGAAGCTGACGAAGAAGATGAAGCGCCTCGAAATGGCTGCTGAGGGACTGAAACACACACTTCCCGTGATTAAGTTTTTTTAAACGATTACATGGCTCCACGCAAAAAATCAAGTTTGTCTAGCAAATTACTTATACATAATTTTCATACATGTTTACTACAGCTTTTATACCATTGACCTCCACTGGAAGTCCGGAGTGATTGTAGACCTCTCGAATACTTGCGCCACGTCCTCCACGTTGCCCAATAGATGCAACATTGGAGCTAGCAGATCCGAGTGAGTCATGACACTGGTGAAGCAGCGACGCCCACTATCCCACTCAAAGTGTGTCAGGCCGCGCATGACGATGCGTCGCCCTAGAAGCTGCTGGGCGAGCTCGAAGTGTGCGCCATCCTTGCTGACCAAGCGAGGGAAGGCGTTGCGAAGTGTTCGCTCTGTGATCGTGACGCTGGTCTTTGTGATGGCTTCTAGTGACCCTGCCGCACTCCTGTCCAAGCCTTCGAGTGTCACTTCGACGTCTTGGAACCACAGGGACATGCACTTCCAGTTTCTCAGCATGGCGTTGTGGCCCTGTCCGGTATTAAGTAACACGTCTATGCTCATCGTTCTACGTAGGAAATCCAACTGTTCGTCACTGTGTTTGATGACGCTAGAGCGTCCTCTCGACTGGAGACCGTGGCGGAAGAGCTTAAAGTACTCGACAGCCACGTCCCAGCCATTCTGACGAGCTGGCAGCGCTGCGATCTCACGTCGTCGATACTCAACCGTCTCAATCTCTTCGCGCAACTTAAGCGTCTGTTTCTGAAGGTGACTGATACGGTCGTCCTGCATGAAGTCAACCTGTTTCTCTCTACGCACGTGCTGCTCCTCGTGCCACTTCGCAGTGGATTCGAGCTTCTCGCTGTTCAACGACTCTGTGTCTGTTTCTGGCTGTGGCGTACTCGGCTCCGCAGGTGCGCACTGGAGCTTTCGGCTCGACACAACTGGCGACTCAACTCTCTTCCGCTTCGTCCCGCTCGTCAACGAGAGCAGGCCGAGCACGGCAACGGCATCGCGCTCGGGGATGACCGCTGGAGCAGATGTAGAGCTCGTTCTGTCTACTGCCCTCGGCACACGTGCACGCTCACAAGACCACGACGATTGTCGCGGCTGATAATAGTCTGCGTAGGCCTGAGCGTTTCTATAATCATCAGTTGGGAGGAGGTCCCTGCTGGGTCTTCTGCGCTGTTCGACATTACCGATGATGCTGTCACTGAGGAATCGGTAGCTTGGTGGACGAAGAGTGCTGAAGTTCATCCGAATCAGTAAAAAATTACTCGAGCTCTGCTGTCTGGACTGCGAAATGAGAAATGACGTTCGGACTCTCGGACAATCTGCGATAATCGGAAGGATAAGTAAAAGAAGCATCTGTCTGTATTACGGTACCGTACAGCGTTCTTCCTCTAAACAATAAAATAAAAACTTATACAGAGGTATTCCTAATTACATTGCCATTCCTCTGCATAAGCAAGTTTTATTACATCTTTTGTAAGAGGAGGACATCTCGCAGCGATCTGATGCATGCGAAGAGGTGCATTGCGAACGTACTCATGCACAAAGCGAATGGTACTTCACGACTTGTAAAGTTTTGAATCTGTGACAAAGCCTCGTGAGTCCGATAGAAACTATTGAGCGGTATTTAATACTGCTTCATGCTCTGTCCCTGTGTTGCTGAGTAGTGTTCTAATGGCACCACGCGCACGTGTGAATGTTGTGAAAAGGCAAGACAAATAGAGAGCCGTTTTCCCTGTCCTGGTGGATGTCGTTCGAGCCCTTTTGGACAGGAAGCAGCCACTATTAATACATGCAAGCAAGATCGCAAAATATTCAGCTACAAGATTGAAAACTTGTAAAGCAGACAGCACAAAATAATCGGGATTGCTTCAGTCTCGTCGTTACTTGGATTGCAGTGCACGGCCGTTATTTGTATGAATAACATGGAATGCTCGCATAAAAAGAGTACCTTGGCAACAATCATAACTTACTTCATCGAGAGAATACTAACATTTTAAAGCGGCATCGGCATCTTTAGCTCGCCGTTGTTGGATATGACTTTTGGGAGGATCGCTCGTACATGCTCTCAGCGTGATAAACAAGTGAACAGCCGGACTTTCTGGTCGATGAGCGACAGATCACTTGAAAGTTCCGATTGCGTCCCCAGCTTTAAAACTGATTCTTATTGATCATGGTAGAGGCATTGTCGCCGTATGTGTACTGTAGAATGTCCAGTATTATTAGAACAGTATGAGTTTACTCTAATGTTTGCAAATTTTGCAAGCTCATTGTGAACGGATTGATACATGTACGGTACTGTATGCAAAGCAATAGAACGACAGCACAAATCTCCCCATCTAGGTCAAATTACTTGTTAGTAATACATGTATGTAAGCTACATGTACAGAGCGTTGCACGACGACGCGGCTTGTGGTTCTGCGACGGAAAATGTGCTTCTGTATCGACTAAGCTGCGAGAACATTCGCTAATACCATGGTACATGTACTGTATAACAATACTCAGACATTCCATATTGCTTGGCAGCAAAATGTACCCACTGGCTGTACCGGTATGTACGCAGCTGCGGGATCACATTTTGTACTGTACATGTAGGAAACAACTGCTTTGGAATGCCCTTTTTTCTGACTTGAACACTGGTCATTACAGTAGAAGAGGGTTCACCGTGACAAAATTGTCCGTACTTAAGTAATACTTCCCGATTCGTAGCCAGCATTGTACATGTAACCAATTGTTATGGAAAATATATCCTGTTCGTGCATGCATTGGATGTAGCTGCTGTATGCACGAACAGGAGAATTGTTGGCGTGGATCATACTCCTACCTCATTCTATGATTAGGGTCAATATGCAGTACTTTAACACACAGTCTAAATGCCTATCCATCCACTAAAAATTCTACGAACTTATTGTCGTAATCCAGGCCTAAGTTTGATGTTCGTCGTGTGACGTTGTCTATGCAGCGAGTGACCGGTGGAAAAACGCTTCATTTTTACCTGGTAGAATTACAGTAACAAACGTTATTAGCAAATAGTAGTATCTGCGTTCCTCTCTACACGTAGATTTCTTGCGAGATGTCTGGATTTGGCAATCCTTTTATAATAATAAGTATGTACCCCGCATTGATATGTGCGTGATATTACGTTCTACATGGGACCAGTACTATTGAATTGAGATTTTTTTATGCATTTGATGCACCACCGTTTATTTGTTTTGCCCATAACAACAGAAGCACATATCGTATAAGTGCTGGAAGACCCACAATGAAAACAGCATAGCACACACAAATGCACTCCACCTTTTTTAGGGCTTGATCGACATGGAGAAAGCTCAGAGAGTAGCGGGAAATTGATGCTCATCCTATGTGCAGAACATTTCTCGTGATATTAAAAGAGCGAAGAAACCTACAAGCGACAATCTTTATGTCAGAGTGTACAGCTTGCGTTGCGGTGAGCTTTTTTTATAGACAGGAACAGCGTCGATATTGCTGCACGCCATGCAGAACTCACTGCCATCGACTCGCACACATACGTAGAAGTGTAGTAAAGTAAATATGTAACCAGCGCTACATGTATATATTTTAATAAGCAACACCTTTCTTCCCATTTGCATGCTCACACGGTCGGTTTACCGTATGATTTTCAGCGTTTAGGTCTTGACAAACCGACAAAAGCAGAATTGTGGTTTCTTCTAAAGACCTCTATTATAAAATAAACTGACCAATCCAATGGCTCTGACACTTTAATGTGTACCACATTTGAACCAAATGTTAAATACGGTCTCGTAGCGTGTCCGAAAATGATGTTTCTTTCGAAAATAACTTTTTTCCTACGTACTTTTGGCCTTTAAAATCCGCGCAAAAAATAAAATCCACATCTGCCTTTTCTTGTCGCATTTTTATGCATAGTTTTATGCGCATCTGCAAAGCACAATAAATTATTGAATAATGCTCGTAGATCCCCGCAAATTTGAAAGGAAATTACGCTTTGTTATTACGCTTCTGTGAAAAAGCTAAATAAAGATTTCTGTCCCGTTAAACTGAGCGGGAGAGATCATACACCGACAGTCAAATGACACGCAGTCGAATGGCACAGCAAACTTCTTCTTTCTACTCCAACGACGTCTTTGACACCCAGCAAGGGCTACACTTTTCCAAGTATCATGAACCTACGAGTGTCTGATTCTGACTTCGCTCACTTCACCCGGAACCTCACGAAAGGCGTACCACGACACCAAAAAAATGCCTTTCTTCTTCGGCGCTGACAGCATGCTATTGAGCTTGGATGCTTTAATGAAGCCGCCATACTTCGAGCGTACTTGGAGTCAGTCATTCCCGATGACGTTGAAAAGCCTCCCTGCGTGCCGTTCAACTTCAGCGCGTTGTCATCGGAAGACTGTATGCAGAAATTTCGCTTTTCAAAGGACCAACTTATTACTTTGGTTATCGCTTTTAAGCTCGAGGGTGTTAGCACCACTAAAGGAACAGCATCAGCTGGAATTGAAGCCTTGTGTGTGATGTTGTACAAACTAGCAATTCCGACGCGCTGGGTGGATATGAGTCCACTTTTTGGCGGACGATCGGCTAGTGGAATGTCAAATATCTTCATGTACATGATTAGCTACTTGGACACAAAGTACTCTGGGTTAATCGCATTTAATCACGAATATGCAGCCATGCATTTGGAGGAGTATGCAGAGGCCGTTAAAAAAAAGGCTCACATTTTTTTGAACGTGTGGAGTTTTATTGATGGAACAGTCCGAGGTATCTGCAGGCCAGGGCCCCGCAACATCGATCGGGACGGCTTTCTCATGAGCCAACAAGCGGTGTATAATGGTCATTGCAGAAAGCACGGCCTAAAATTCCAGTCGTTGACCACGCCTGACGGATTAATTTCTCATCTTTATGGTCCCAAGAAACCACGACATAACTTTATATCGCCACTCAAAGCTCTCCGAGAAGATTCGAAGCGATGAAAGATTTATACATTATCGGATTTTGGAGACCATGCTTATGGACGTGACGATGTATAGTGCTGTCCGTTTGGAGGGGCTACTCTCACTGCTGATGAGAAATTAGTCAAACGTGACGATGTATAGTGCTGTCCGTTTGGAGGGGCTACTCTCACTGCTGATGAGAAATTAGTCAGCGCCAGCATGACTAAGGTACGTATATCGGTGATGTGGTCTTACGGCCAAGTTTGTAACTATTGGTCCGCTCTTGACATCAAGCGGAAGGCTCGAACAGGGACACAACCAATCGGTCAAATGTATCGAGTCGGTGTGTTTCTGACAAACTGTATTACATGTTTGAGGGGAGGAAACACTGTAGGTGACTATTTCGGAGTTAATCCACCTAGCTTAGAAGAGTACTTGCAATAAAACAAATTAAATAATCATTTGTTAACAACACAGGTTGGATAAGCACTGCAAGTAAATTTAATATAAGGCCAATATATATTCGTCAAATACCGAAGCACTTTGAGCATTTACTTCTTGCTCAACGCATCG